GTTCCCTTGATCTCTAGTATACTATTGTTGAAAGTGCTATGCCTATGCTAGGAGTGCTAACTTGCGTTCTGCCCTTTCAACTCTATCCACCAGGCTGTGTCATCTTATTGGTTGACGAAATTTATTAGGAAATAGCTCAACTTTTACCATGTCTTTATGTCGCATCGTGCCATTTATCGTTAATAGGCTAACCTTTTGCAGTGTATAAACTTCATCTTGAGGACACAGGAGAGGTCTTCTTTGTAATATGGGAGCAATCTGCTCCCTAATCAACTAAAATTGATACATGCTATTACTGTGTCAGTAACTGAGATCTACCATGCATTTAGGCCGTAACAATTGGCTACCGTAGACTTTCTAGGTTATTTAGATCTAGCTCAGAATTTACAAATAGATGCCTTTCGGGTACGGGACTAGAGAGCAACAGTATGGCAGTACATTGCTGCATTAAATTTGCAATGCTAGTGATGTTGGTGATAGTAATGACTTTAATTCGTATAGTCCATAGGCAACTGTTACGGTATTTGATCTGAACGAGCACTTAACTATGGGAGTTGGCTCCAGATAGGGATGAAAATGGGCCGGCCTGACTAAATATCTAGTAGTATTCGGCGACCAAACTTAGTGCCGAGAAAACCTGATTACCTGGCAAGGCATCTGGGTGCTTGTCTGTCCGGGCCATAGGAGGATCGTCTCTTGTGGTCAGCAGGTGTAGAAGCCTCCAACCCATATAACCCCTATTAGTACCGGTCCCGTATTACACAAACCTGGTGTTTTTTGTTACTGTGGTGCTGTTTACAGGGAATCCGTACCTTAATGTAGCATAATTGAATCAACCATTCAGCAGTAAAAATTACCATCCTGCTAACAGTTGGTGAGCATCGCCAAGAAAAGCTTGACAAGTCAGCCGCTGAACACTTGGGGATCTGCTAAGGAAGACCCCATCACACCGCCCTCTCGAGCATTATGCTCCTATGTCTATCGATTAAACAGCGTCCATTGTTTATACGCTGAAGTAGAAAGTTATATTTAAGTAGACTAGCAGTACCGTTATGTATGAGCCTTCTCCCGACACTCAACTGACTACACCAGAGTACTGCCTTTGCCTTGATTTGTGTCTTTGATAAAACAACACTCTGCGCACGTGGTAGGCATTTACTTTCTCTTCTCGGTCGTTCTCCTCAGTCAATTGGCACTTGAGCTCTAAACGTTAACCCAAGCGGTTTTATTTTTGATTTCAGACAAGTTGCTTGACCCGCCACCCAAAGTCGGCGAGGAACCAGGGTCTGTCGAGGGACTTGACTCGCAACTGCTGGCTACCTTGGACGAAAAAGTGGCCTTTGTGAAGTCCCAGAATGCTGAATCTCGCACACGCATAAAGGAGTTTTTGTGTATTGCGACCAAAATGTGAGTTCAGCGGCTGTTATCGCCTTCGTCACCTTTGCTTCTGCTGTTAAAACCGCCGTTTATATACCAGCCTGTTTCCTGGACGTCATATCC